GTGTCGCTGTTGTTGTTGACGATTGGAGGGTCCAAATCGTCGGATTCCTTTTTCGATCGAATTTCGGCGGTTTCGGCTCGGCTTTTTTGCAAAAAACTGATGCGACCCTGAGTAAGAGCAGTAGAATCAACAGGTTTAGCAGCAATTGCCACTTTCTTGTTGTTCTTTGACTTTCCCATTGTCAGTTTTGATGCAAAAAGGAGGAGCGAGTTTCGTTTTGCTACAGAAAATTCGTGTAGGCGAAGTACCGAAAGTGATGTTTGGAGGACCCGGAGATGCGTGTTGTTTTTGTATTTTTGTTTTTCGGAATATGTCATCAGAATCGGAATCCGAGTTCACATCCGCAGCTGCCACTTTCTCCGCATGAACAGGTCGGGCTTTGATGGAAAGAAACATAGACAAACAAGTGCGAGGACCAAAGACTTTGGTAGTTGCCTGTTTCAACATCCCTGGAATCTCCACTGGACAATATTTGGCCTGTGTCAGTTCCACGAAGTCGTTATGCTTCGAAATCATGGTGAGAGTCTCATCCTTCACCGGACCCACGGCCTTAATGCTGATTGTCCCGTTCTGAGCAGCCTTCCAATCGCTAATGTAGTGTGTGACAGCGCACCATGGGAAATCTGTCTTAGGGGTAGACGGGTGCAGCCATAATCGTAGTTCTCGGTCCGCTTGCTTAGCGTCCCTCGATCTGACGTAAACGTGCCACATCATGCATCCGGGCGATCGTTCATTCCACTTGCTGCGGCCGTTGTAGGACGTAAACGTGCCACATCATGCATCCGGGCGATCGTTCATTCCACTTGCTGCGGCCGTTGTAGGGAATGTTTACCCATTCGTACCGCAGGCCGATAACCGTCTTCCAGTCAAAGTGTCTCATTAATTCTTTCTCCATAGCCCTGATGTTAATTCCTGTGGATAGAAGCACAGAGCCCCAATTTTTTTGATATCGCCAAACTGTAGAACCGATTCATAGCATCCCGCTCCATACCCTTGCGGACGCAATTCGCCGTGTAGATATTGGCGAATCGTTCCTGCCGCCACCTCAACCTCAAAACCCACTCTCATCCTTGTTCGAAGCTTCTTTTCGCCTGGCTTATTAGAAGTCGAGGCATATGACATGTTGCCGAAAGACATGTCCAGATACTTGGACAAGCTCCGGTAATCGGGAATCAGCCGTCGAAGATCCGCTTCCGTTCGGATCCACTGCTTAGACTTCTTGTAAGCGCTGTCAGACAAGGGAAGAAAGCGAATCGTCTCCTCCGCGTTCTTTAGGACGTCTGCCAGCGTATCCAGAATATGGTTCAAGATAATAGAGGCATGGGTCGTATTCCCCCCTTGTTGACCTTGATAGCTGTAAGCCATTCCCAGTTCAACCAGGATAGCCTGACCGATCATGCCGTCCAAGTTGACTTGTCGCAGCCCATCTAGGCGTTCTTCCAATGTCAGGCTGCGTTGGAGTCTGCGTTTGGCCTTAGAGCTTTGCTTCGTCGAAGTGGTGTCCGTTTTTTGTGCGGTTGGTGTGGTTGATTGTGAAGCACACGGTGAATGTGTACGTTTAGCCCCGGTTTCACTCAAGGAGCTCCCGTCCACATCCATTTCTGTAGACGGAGCGACCACCAAAACCCTGTGGGACCGTCCCTTCTTCCTCGGCGGGGAAGCCAATTCAGGATCCTTGTCTTCACCAGTAACACCGGTAAGTTCGGAAACTACCTCATCCGTATTCAGGCCTATGTAGTTGGTGTCTTCTTCATTTTCAGTATCCGTAGTTTTGTAAGAATTTTCCACGAGAATGACCGAATCCTTGGTCGATTCGTCAGTATCCTCGTCTTCCTCCCCCACCTCGTCCTTGTCATCATCGTCGTCGTGGATGCGATTGTCGCCAGAATCAAATTCGCCGTCTATGTCCATATCGTGCCTTCTGTTGTTGGGGTTGTCATCAACTGTCTCGTCAGAGTCCCACCCATCGGGTTGGCCGAACTTATTGACAAGGCCAGTATCCTCGTCGCCCATCGGGTCGTCTTCCTCCTCAGAATCTTCGTAATCTGGATCAAATATCTTTTTGACCCCCTTGTGGATGTCCACCTTACTAGTTTCGTCATTGGGAAATCCCTCAATCACCTTCAATTTTATTTCTTGAATGCAAGGGATTGGAAATTCCTCGAGAAATTCGTCAAACAGCATCGTCCATGGGTGATCGAATATGGAAGCGCACATCAGCCAAAACTGCACCAGAGGAGTCTCATTTCGTAGAGCGGGGTTCGACCGATCGTCCCTCAAAAAATAAAGATCTTCTTGTGGCACTTTGGAATCGTTCACAAGGCCAAAATCGAAAAAGGAAAACGGAATCTGCTGGGCGACTTGCAATGCAATTGCTCTCACTCCCCATGTGTATTCTGTATTTTTTTCCACCTTTCCCAAAGCGTCATCGTCAAAAAGCGAAATTAGGAATTTCAACACTCGCCTCCAATCGTTCGCATATTGAGCGAATAGCATGTTAACCCTGACTTCAACTGAATAGTTAGCGTAGAGGTCCTTGAACGGGCTGTCAAACCTTGGGAGCGCTTGAGTCCACCGATCATTATGATCTTCCATCCATTGATTGAAAATGGAGTTGCCAAACGAAATCTTAGTTGAATTATAGTCGTAGCCGATAGCAATCAATTCGTGAGTAGATAACCCAAAGTCGATCAGAGGTGGAAGAGATGCGATCAGCTCTTGAATCTCCGAATCATTATTGACACTAGGATCCCTGTCCTTAGGTTGACGTAAATCAACTGCAGATGCATTTTCCAAGCTTTTCTTATCGCTCTTTTTGGCGACAGAAACCGATTTGGGTGTGGACCCGCCCGCCTTGTTGGCAGTCGTTGAGACAACCTTCAGTGATGTAGACTTCCCCATTGTAAAACAGTGAAATGCCGTTGAATTGATAAAAACTTCAGCACGTTCTACGTAGACTCTAGTACTTAGGCTACGAAGACCGTTTGCAAGTTCCGATCGGTTCGGTGCTTTTCGTTTTTCGTTTTTCTTTTTCTATACTTTTTCCTGTCATAAATAAGTTTATTGCCGATGAAATAAGGAATTCATCGGTATGCTACATGTTATATCTCAGCCCATCACAGAAACAAGTATGACCCTCCAAAGTCGGACAGAACCATTCGCCCAAAAAGTGACACCAACACAAAACTGTCTTGTCAGATCATGAAGACGGCATATCCTTGCAACCTACCATATACCATTGATCTGAACTATCGCAATGGCTCTTCTCGGCCCTATTGGAAGATGCAATAGGCATGGAAGAGGACCATGAGGCTCAATTTGGTGGTCTGATGGACTGAGAAAATCCGAGTATATTGCTTGTCATCCTGAATGTTAATAGTTTTGCAAGACAAAGGCTAGCACCTTCAAAGGTGAAGGATAGTCATTCGAAAATGATTCTTAGGTCGATTGCAATGTGTAACTACACACTCCTGCCATTGTGACAATCACCATTGGCAGCAATGGGACATGCCCTCATTCACTGTTTATTTTTGTTTTGTACGATCAAAGTCCGATCGCACGTGTCGAAAACCTCGTACTTGAATAGTTTCTTTTGGAACGTAAAAACTCATATTTCGTCATATCCCAACGATGACGAGGAGCGAAGAAATGATTCTTTAGGGGGAGTTGTTTAAAAGGGGGCATTACGGTTTTCCGAAAAATATTTTGTTGTGTTTCAAATTGATTTGTCGTGTCCGACCTCCAGCAACAATTCTACCGCTCTCGCGGTAGTCGCCGATCCGGTAACCGCTGGGCTGCCAATCTATCTCGACAGCTCATCCTTATTGGTAAAGGCATGTGGAAGCATCGCAATGATGTCTTCCATTCTGACGACAACATCGTCAACCAACAGCGCGCAACTGCTCTCGATCGACGCATCCACGAAGAGTTTGACATGGGTCCTCGCGACCTACCTCGGAACCTTCGCCCTGTCATCCGTCGATCCCGCCTTGTAGACGTCCTCCGACTCCACCTGGCGGACAAGG